ACTATTGGGTTTTGCATATTCCTTAGGGCCAATTGCATCTCTTGGTCATCAAAGAAACAGTCAACATTGGCTCAGTCAACAATAGAAGCATAATACAGGGCACTTGCCTCCACTACAACTGAATTGGTCTAAATCACTTACCTCCTTTGTGACAATGGAGCCTCCTTGCACTCATCCCCTCAATTATTCTCAAATAACATTGGTGCTTTGCACATGTCTATTAAACATGTATTTCATGCCCGAACTAAGCACATAGAAATGGATTACCATTTTGTATGAGAAAAAGTGACTATTGGTACCCTTGTCACTCGCTATATTCCTAGCACTGATCAAATAGCAGATATCCTCACAAAACCCTTACTTAAACATCAACATGAACTTTTGCATTTCAAGCTGGGAACTGCTCCATCATCCCTCTGTAGCTTATGGGGGAGTATAAAGGCCTACACAACAAATTAGGATCATGATCCTGCAAACAAGGAAAGTTCCATGACAAACAATCAAGAAGGAAAGTCAAAGAAATTTTCCATTCAATATAGAAACTCTCAATCAAAGCTAAAAATCTTCAATCACAGTAGGAATTCACAAAGCAAGAATCAAAACTAATTGCAATAACTTAGGATTTTACCATTGGATATAATTATATGTATATATATTTATATATATCAGTACCAAGTTAGACTGAAATACAAGCTCAATATTCTTATTCTCTATTTTCTCTTCCAAGTTCTTTTCTTATCTATGGCTATCAGATGGGACCATCTTTGAGGATTTGAATTTGTCTTATTTTGATATGATGGGCTCCCATCACCCGAAAAGGAGAAAAGAAGACAAACTACTAAACTAGACGAGTTGCTCCACTAAAAAAAAAAAAAAAAGTTTTAGTGTCACTAAAAATTTCTAAATTTTGTAAAAAGAATTATTGTTATTCTTTTATTTTAAAAAAATTCATAAATTTTCCTGAACTTTGGAGAAAGGGGAAAGGATCGTCCCTCTATTAACAGAGGTTATAAGGTTGTTCATTCACACGTAACCATCTTCCGAATTTTAATGGTAAAATGACATTATTAGTTCCTCAACATTAAATTCCTTTGCACTTTGATCCTCGGACTTCATATATTCTAATTCTTTTTTGCAAAAATAATAAAAATTATATAAAATCTAATAAAATCACTTCAACTCATTTAAATATCAATAAAATTAAAGCTAAAATAATAAAGTAAAATATATATAAAATTCATCTAATGAAAGTGAAAATTCAAGTTTTTAATGTCTAGTTTGAGATCTTAAAAAAAAAAAAAAAAAAGACATTTAACTCTTTATATACACATTTTTTACCTAAAAAAAATAAAAATATTATATCAAGAAAGGGTAAATAATAGATGCTTGACTTTATTTTATTGTTATATACTCATAATCATAAAAACAACACTCAAAGTTATTTTTGGTGTATAATATTCACATAACCACATTTACTCTATACTTACAAGTCATATTTACATTATTTACAACTTCAATATTTTAGTTGTAATAGTTCACAAGATCTCAAATTAGGTATCAATGAATTTTTTTTTGAGATAATTAATTTGATGTCAAAAACTTGAGTTTACATTTTAATTATATTAATTTTTATACATTTTAATTTATTATTTTAAAATTAATTTTATTAATATTTAAATGAGTTAAATGTAATTTTAATCAAAAGTTACATGCTTTTTTCCTTTTTTACTTCATGATATTTTTCTACTGTATTTTTTTTTTTTTTGAACAGCCAAGAAATTCATATTGATAACCTGAGTACAAGGGGTATTCAAACTCATTTCCATGAACAAATTACAAGCCCTTCGGTGTTACTACCCTCTTTCAAACATTTCCTACTTTGCTTTACTAAGGCAAGAAGTAGGATTAATTAACTAATCTGATAGACTGAAGTAACACTTGGGTTTCCTAGCTTTGATCCAAGCAAAAAACCTTAATTGAATAAGTTCAAAAAGTTTAATCAAGTTTACCTTTGCATTGTCAAAAATCTTTTTGTTGCGCGCCGTCCACACCGTCCATAACATTGCATTCCATATACAGTCCCACCCTTCCTTTTTGTGTGGCTTTTTGGTCCACGCCCCAAAGTGTTGAAATCTTGGCTTGCATTCTTTTTGTAAAACTATTGTGATTCCCCACCACTTTGCACAAGCTTTCCACAACCACTCAGCTACATTGCAGTTCAAGAACAAATGGCTTGAGTCTTCCTCCTCTTCCTTACACAAAACGCATTTCCTTTCTTCCAAGTCTTTTATGATTCCCCGTTTGAACAAATTAATCCTAGTTGGGATTCTGTCAATTAGTGCCTTCCAGTTGAATGCAGCTACTTTCATTGGGATGGTCGAATTCCATACTCTCTTGAACATTTTCTCCTCCTCGTCATCCCTCCTTTGTTTTGCTAGTATTGGATAAGCTGTTGTCGTTGAGTATTATCCATCTATGCTGTGGATCCACTCCCATCTATCTGCACAACCTGGGGAGATTTTAACTTTGTCGATTGTCTTTTGCAGTTCCTTTTCAGCCTCTTCCTCCCACTGGAATAGGGCCCTTCTCCATGTCAAGTTCCACTTCCATGTGCCGTTGTGATCCTCTCCCATTTGCTGGCAATCTTTTTCCTTCCCTGTTGACAAGACATACAATCTAGGATATATATTCGCTAGGCAATTCTCTCCACACCACTCATCCCACCAAAAACTCACTCCTTTCCCTTCACCTATCTTAATCCTAAATCCCTCCGTCAACCATCCCTCATTCCCGCCCTCCTCGACATTGAGACTTTGTATATCTCTCCACCAAAGTGATCCTACTCTTCTTCCGTCTCTCACCCAATCCATCCACTATCCCCCATTTTCTCCATATTTTCCTTTTATAACTTTCCCCAATAGCCCCTCTTCCCCTTTCGCTAACCGTCCCCACCATTTTCCCATCAACACCGGATTAAACTTTATTAGGTCCTTCACTCCCAGGCCTCCACACTCCTTCCTACACACCCTCTCCCAACTAACCCATTTGATTTTTTTCTCCTCCCCCAACCCTCCCCATAATTTTTTACCTACTTTTTGTTTTTCATTTTCAAAGACACTACCGTCCATGTGCGTTAAGTGAATGTGAAAGAGTACGGCTTCGTTTCGAGCGAAAATATTAAGATAAAGGTACAAATTTTATTATTTTTTAATGATATAAACTTTTTAAAATTTTAAATTAGTTGCACAATCAACTCGTGCTCTAATCGTTATACGTCTTATCAAAAAGTGCATCCCTAACTGAGAGCTAAGGTTTAAATTCTTCCTTCCTAAAAAATTGTAACAAAATTTTATAATTTTTTAAAAGATAAAAATTATATATATTTTTTTAAATAAATATATTGAATGGTAATGGGAACGTAATCAATGATAATTTTA